AGATCTAGCGATTTCCCTCATGAGTCAGTTGAGACCAAACCAGAGTTTAAAGTCAAGTCAACATCTGATTCATCACATCAAAGATAAACAACTGTTTTTGTTACAAGGCTGTAACATGTTGAATGTACGTTATCTGTAGCTTGTTATCAAGCTCTGCCTCTAAGGGTTTAAAAGCTTTCATAGAAAACAAATGGCTTTAATTCACAAGTCCATGTGATTTTTTTTAGATGGATTTTATATGGTCTATCAACACTGTTATTGTTGTAATCAGCAGACATTCACTGTTTGGATGTTTATTGTGAGATTACTTGACAGTAGGAGAAGTATAGAACATTTTCAGAATTATATTGGAGGCACTGCTAAATATAACAGTCTAAAAGTATTGAAATAAGTACTTTGTCTCTTTTCAGTTGCTCCAGCAGAATTTTAATCGTGTGAAGCGGTGCATCATGGTCCTGATCAACTATGGGACGTACATCAACAGCTGCTTTCAGTGGGAGTCTGCACAAAGGAGCATCATCTCCTTTGTGGTATGAAAACACACTGATACACTCACAGTTGTTGGGTTCTTCTAATGACCTTGATTTGTGTCTCCTCATTTTACCTTGTCAGGATACTGAAGTACATTGTCATTACATAAGAGAACATTTAAAAAAAAAAAGACTTCTTCCACCATTGTTACCCATGTATGTTATACTAATGATTCAATATAACTAAATGTTAATTATGTAAAAAAGATTTGGAGTTTTATGACAAAACATCTCAATCATGATAATTAATGTTAAATGTCTCCTTGAATTATCTCACCTCGCATTTTTTCCTGCAACTTTGGGAAAGTCAAGACAAATGAGAAACACCCAATGTGACATTTTCAGTTTTTTCTTCTCCCAGCTATTTGTGGTGGTTGTGTGGAACTTTGAGCTCTACATGTTGCCACTCGCCTTGCTGCTGCTGCTGCTCTGGAACTACATCTTCTCTTCAAGCAGGGTAACAGGCGACATGGTGAGAAATCACAGAAAATAGATCTGACTTCTGTGCCTTTCTTCTTTTTGTGATTTTTGAATTAGAGAAGAAAATATCTGATCATCAATGGAAAACCAGTATTCATATTTGTGACTTCTCGACTTCTTGGATAACGAAAGAGAGAATAGTATAAAATACAGAGTAAATAGTTATGAAAGAGTGGCATCATTTTATATTACACAATAAAATAAAATCCCAAAGAGGTGTGAGAGTGTTGTCCAACAGAGGGCAGTGTAGCCTACTCACAACAATACTAATATACTAAGGTGAGAGGAAACTTTTTTTTTTCATCCCTGATGCCCGCATGAAAAACAATCAACTGTCTGAGAAAACATACCATTTACATTGAAATTGTTTATTTCAAGATATTATGCAGATATATGTTATATATCACAATTATGTATCATTAAATCAAAAAGTGACATCAATAGTAATGTATTTATTTATTATTCTGTTGCAGTCAATGGAGGCCATGTTTGAATGGGAGGATGTAGAGGAGGATAAAGAAGATAAGGTAGAGTCATTATAAAGCAGATGTACACTCATGTCAGACTTTATTCAATGGAAAACGACTGATGTTTACCTTGTTCCTGTCAGGACTCAGAGCCCAAGGGCTTCATAGATAAACTATATGCCATCCAGGAAGTGTTCATCAGTGTGCAGAGTGCTCTGGATGAGGCTGCGTCTTATGGAGAGAGGATAAAGAAGTGGGTAACACAGCAGTCATTGACAGTGTATCCAGTTCTGTAGTGTTTGTAACATGCTGGAAGTGACCAAGCCATTGCCAAAACTCTGTGGTCACTGTTTAAGTTCATTGCTTTTTGGTCTGTGTTCATAATACTTTATAATATACAGAGTAAGACCCCCAGGAGACCCCTATATGGATAGAAACACTGCCACAGGAACGAAGCTACTGTCTTTTGTCTTAAATTAGCCCCATGCTTTCACTGAAGTGCAAATCCCAACAAAAAAGTGGAAAACACAGCAAATCACAAAACACAACAAAAGTAAAAGAAAACATAAATGCGAAAGCACAATGGAAAGTTAAAAAAAAACACATGACTCCTAAAATCACAATGGCAAATTAGAAATCAACAGCAAATCATAAAACACAGAAATTTAAAAAGTACAACGGTAAATAAGTGCACAATGGCAAATCACAAAAACACAACAAAAAAAGTATAAACACAACACATAAAATACACGCCTAAAAAGCTCAACAACAAAGAAAACACATCAATGCAGCAGCAACACAACAACAAATAAAAAAACACAGCAACTAAAAATAAAAACAGAAAAGACAACAAAAATTGAACCTTGTTTGCACATGCTGTCGTACGACACCCTGTGTTTTGTTCTTCCACTGCAGCACCTTTAACTGGACAGTGCCTTTTCTAAGCTGGTTGGCGATCACCGCCTTTTGTTTGGCCACAGTTCTGCTCTACCTCATACCTCTTCGATACATTGTGCTCGTATGGGGTGAGTCCTGATTTCACACCAGTAGCATTTACCAGTGTATATGTAACATGTACTCAAAAAGAGTTTTTGGATTTCCTGCAGGTGTGAATAAATTCACCAAGAAGCTTCGGAATCCGTACTTGATTGACAACAATGAGCTTCTTGACTTTCTATCCAGAGTCCCCTCGGATGTTCAAGTGGTGAGTAGCTTGTGGAAAATATAGATAAAACACTTTGTGTGAACCACTCCACTGGTGACATTTAGTCACAATTACTTCTACTTAACTTGAATATTTCTAGTTAAACTTTTGCTTCACTCCACAGAAGGAAATATTAAAATTTTATTTATTTCACTAGTTACTTATAAATTGAATATTTTATACACTGGATGATAACAAGCTTTGAAACCAGTGTTTTGGTGCCTTTGTCCTCCTGACGTCCCAACAGACAAAACATCTCACATGGTTTCATTCCTATAAATGTTTAAATCATTTAAAATCACAGCAAAAATGACAATCAATTCCAAAAACACAAAACTGATACGTCAAGTTTTTCTTCTGTCCTCTGCGATGAATCATATTTATTTGGTTTCCCAGTCTATATAAAAAACTGTAAATCAAACCAGCTCCACCTTTACCTGAAGCAAGTTGCTCTCAAACTGATTCTTAAGTATTAACCATCTTATAATGTCATATATAATACATATAGAGTGACCAAACTACTACTTCAACATTAACATTGATGAGACTTCAGGCAGTTTTACTTCTAAGTACTTTTTTCACCAGCTCATAACTGTGTGTGTGTGTGTGTGTGTGTGTGTGTGTGTGTGTTGATGGACAGATGCAGTATCGTGAGCTGAAGCTCGACCCTGGACAAAGCCCCAACAAACGTAGGAGACCAAACCTGAGCTAACCGTCACATCTACGTATCATCAGCCCTCCTCTCTGCTGGAAAACTTCCCTGTAAATATTTGAACTGTAAACGATGTAAACTATGTTACTTACATATCTCTTATATATTTTGATGATGAAAAGTGATGAGCTGTTTTCTGTTTTGTTATTGTGGAAAGACACTGATTTCTTGTCGAAGTTTTGAAAATATTTCTTCGGAGAAAACCAGGCATGTTTTTTTACTCCTTAAATTTCTTGTAACAATTAAAACCTGAGGTTTGTGGTAATAATGTATGTTATGAATATCCATGTGCATGTATGAAGGCGTGCTGCTGTTGCATGGAATCATTGCATCTCTGGTTTAAGTTGTTTTCATTTTTTCTACCTTTTGTCTTTTTAACGTGTATGTATTGTCCAATGTTATTTTAAATACAGAGCTGCATGGCATTACTGTCACCGTTATTCCATTTATGACAGTATATACACATAAACACATACAACTCCGTAAATAACACCACATATGAAACACAAGTTTCCGGGTTGGTAAAATCCACACAACAACTTTGTATGTTAAACTTGCAAACTGTAAAACATGGGGATGATGGGGATCAGCAGGATTTCAGTCTGGTAAATAAGTGCTAACTTTGCCCATTTAACCCAAACATGGGATCATTTTCTTGAAGGTGATTTTGCTAAAGGAGTGCTACTCTTAATTGTTTGGGTCAGGCAGCTCCATTGACAGCTGTGAGATCACATGTCGCAAAATAACTCAAAGTTACTCAAGTGCTGTACCTTAGTACAGTCTTAAAGTACTTTTACTAAGTATCTCCATCAGACCACCATTTAGATGTCTACTATAGTGCATCTTAGTGGCCGATTCACATTAATAAAACAAAATATACATGTATATAAAAACAGAGACATTGTGGTGTATTTTTTTATTATGGTGGGTTAAGATGAAGCTTTATTGATCCCCCTGTAATGAACATTTTATCCACCTTCACAAGTAGCAACATTAAAGTAAATTTTATACAATAGTCAGAATACATTATTCTGAAATGACATTTTGCCATTTACCCATTCATACCCACATTCATACAGTGCAGCACTTTCTCTATTACACATCACTCACACACTGCCAGCGCAGCGGTCATGGTCCAGTGTCTTGCCCAAGAACACTCCTGAGCCAAAGTTGCCTCAACATAAAATAACAAAATATCAGCAAACGTCTTCCATTCCAGCCCAACCAGATTACTATGCACACACAAAGCACAAAGTGTCTAAAAAGGATTAGAGCTCATACAGGACATATGTCATACACATGTTTGACTTTTATGTTATATTGCCTATATTTTGCATGTATAAGCATGTAATAATCAACAGTACGCAACAATGTACTATTAACAGATCTAGAGCTGTGTTTCCACTGTGGAGAAATCTTTTCTTTTTTGCATAACTCTCACATCTCCCACTTTATTTTCACTTTCCTTTGTTTCGTATTTTGCTTTGGGCCAAATGTTGGTTTGAATTGTTCAGGACAATCACAACAGTTTGTGTCAGTTGAGTTCATATGTGGAAGGTTTTGGGAAGTGATCTCCTGCATGTCCGTGATATCGTGTATCATTTGTGTGCGTCAAAGTGTTTATGCATGACCAAACAGAAACTATATGCAAGTGCATTTATGGATGCTGATGCTAAGTGCATCTAATATGTGTGTTGCTTTTATGTGACGTCCAGGTCCACCTGAGTTTCCAGGTGATGAGAGAGGAAGTGTTGTTAAATCGTATGTGCTGTTTCCTCTCTGCAACAAATCATCACTCCTGCCATGTTGCACATACTATGTTTACAATAGGTATCTGAGGCTGTTGATTAATTACTGCGATTGTAATGAAGGACCAGCTGTAAGAACTGTGTAGCATTTATCTGAAAGAAAATATATTTCTACACATCCTCACTGCTCCATGTTTGATTTTATTATTATGAATTAATATGTGTGAGTAAAAACATGTTCTTTCAACTTTCTCTTCCATCAGCTTGTTACTTTCAAATTAAATTCTCAAAAACATTCTTGTAAAACCACAGCCGGATTGACTTCCAAGGTCAAAGATGTGTTGTTGGGCCTTTTTTGAACACATTACAGCTTCATTATTTCACATCCAGAAACCACCAGTGGTTCATAACTGAAATGATTTGTGGATAATAGGTTTAGGGGGACGCCTGGGTCGAGAAATGATAGAAGCAATCAAAAGAAACAAACATCAACAAGCCTCCTTACTCAATGTGAATTCTCCAGACAATGACCTACTCCATTCACACATTGGCTCAGCCGAACATTGCACAGAGATGGAGTCTGGCAGAATAGAGTCTGATTAAAAGTCCAGTTTAACTGAGTTGGACACTTTTGTCCACACATACTGCAAATGTCTAGAAAAAGACAGGGTTACAGTGCATGTGTGAGAGCAGGTTTTTAAAACAGAAAACAACAAACAAGAGCAGTTAAAAAGTTTGTATACGGTCCAGGAACTGGCCTGTGAAATCAATGAATCAGCATTTGTTCTGTTTTTATTCCTCTTTGCCAACAGGAGCCTGTGGAAGGAGGCTTTCAGGTTATCAGTCTAATTCTTCTATTTCCACATCACCTGGTGGGATTCCTTTTACATGTGTTAAAAACATTCACTCAAGGGTTAACAAATATTATGTTTGTATCCAAAGGTCCCAGTAGCCTCGCAAATTATGTTTGTTTTTCTTGAACATGATATTTTAAGATCACCTGGCTTAAATTTTTGGACAAACATTCAATTGGACTCAAAGATGAACTGATTAGATTTTGTTGGTCGAAGTTCAAAAGTTCAAAGTCACATTGTTGTGAATGTGATATATCAGGAATGCCCAAAGGGAATATCGTTACAACAGGCACAAACATTCACTGCAACTAATCAGAAATTGGGTGGCCAAAGGACATTCATATTTATATATATACTATATATATATATATATATAGAGAGAGAGAGAGAATAATTATTATTAAGATGATTTTTTTTTCTCCTATTATCTGCTTATTTCTTGTTACTAATATTATTGTCGTAATTTAACTTATTTTAAAGATTAATATCATTATAACAAGAATTAATTGGTTAATAATATTATTGCAGTGATATCCTGGTGTCTCTCTCCCCCTCTATTCTCTCTCTCCTTTCCACCCAACTGCTCAGGGCAGCTCCACAGTAATTATTTAAGCTATAACTTGTTCAAAATGTAGCCAGCTTATTTTGATTTTATTTGCACAGATGAATTAAGAAGCGTAATGAGGTGATCAGGGTCCTGACTAAATGAGTGTGGGCGGTGGAAACCAGGGAGAGGGAAATCCAAAAGGAGTTCAGTGCAGCTCAGCATCAGCTCTGTGAGGTTGAACAGAAACAGCAGCACATCAGCCAAAAAGTCCCCGAGAGAGATGAATATGTAGACGGACCTGCACTGGGTGGTGGAGGCATACAACCACAGCTCGGTCATTCTAGTTTAGACTGAGAGTGTTTCTCCTGCTGCTGACAGTGTTATCAGCTGGTGTCAACATAACTTGAGTTAACTGGAGACTGTTCCTGTGACGGACAGGCAGTTCTCATTTGGAAAATCACATGAAAACAAAGTAAAGAGTATCGGAGCGGCCACCAGAATTGCAAGGGCAATAATAATAATAACCATTTGAATAATTATAAGAAGAAGAAGAAAGAAAAAGAAGATGGAAGCATAAAAAGAATGAAGAAGAGATACAAAACTTACACCCAAACTAAGAAAAAACAGAATAAGAAGAGGAATACAATTATAATAGATACATAAAAAACATTTTAAATAGCTACAACAATAGAATCAAATGGGTTGCTGTGTTTATTTTTATTCTTCATGTTGTGTAGCAACATTGTGACCAGCAGAGGGCCTCATATTGTATGATGCCATCATGTCTGCTGCCACCGGATTTGTCTTATGGAAAGAATGAGAGGTTAGATATAAAGCCTGGTTTTAACCCTTAAATCAAAGTTCCCATTTTTGCAGTATAAACAGATTATCTGCACATCAGAACCAGCTGTAAAATAATCCAATCAAATGTGAATCAGAGGAGGGGACACAATACCAGGACATGTGTCATGACTTTGAACTATTTTCTCTGTTTGCCTGTTTTATGAAGAGTGTTTTCATTTTCGATAATGGACTCCTCGTTTATTGTATCTATACCTGTGTTTTCCTTAGGTTTGGATTTGTGTTCTCTGAATTTTCATTCAGTGTTTCATTCTGTTTAGATTTAGGTTCCACGCTGTTTCCTGTTTTATTTTGTAGTTTCTGCTCCTTGTGGGTTTTCCATCCTTGACTTCCTGCCTTGATAAGTTTCACCTGTTTGTCCTGTGCCATCAGTCTCTACTCTGTCATCAGTTCAGTGTGTATGCAATTCTCTGTGCTTCTCTTTGTCGGTTTGTTGTCATTCCTGGTCGTCTTCATGCTGCCTCACGTCATCACCCTCTGGCCTTTACTTGTCAGTTCCTACTGTTTCCCAAGTGTTTTCTATGTTTTTCAGTTTAGCCTTTTTTCTATCTTTTCTAGTTGTTTTCTGTTTGAGGATTTTAGCTTCTTGGTGCTTTTTTTCTGTTTATGGCTTTTGCCTCATTAAAGGTTCAGTGTGTAGAATTTAGTGACATCTAGAGGTGAAGTGTCATGTTGCAGCTGAATACTCCTTATTTTACCCTCCCCTTTCCCAACATGAAAGAGAACCTGTGGTGAACTTCAGTTGTCATGGAAACTCAAAAGATTTTAGTTTGTCCAGTTTGGACGACAGTAAAAAACATGGCGGCCTCCACAGAGAGGACCCCCCCCTCCATGAAAACAACAATTCATACAATTTAGATGAAACACACCAGTAAAAACTTCACTAGGATTATTTTATATTCAATTTCTGCCAAACATTCCTTTCACCTAATTCCTACACACTGGACCTTTTAAACTTGTTAAAAGTTTTGCTTCTGCATTTTGGGTCCACCTGCTATAACTTAAAACCTGACATGTAAATCATCAGGAAAGGGTTGGATATTATCTAACATTATTCCTATAGCTCTGTGTCTCTGTCCATGTCTATTCCCTGATATCAAAATCAGATCTGTTAATAGGACATTGTTGCGTACTGTTGATTTATTTATTTATAATCCTTTTTTAGACACTTGCTTTGTGTGTGCATAGTAATCTGGTTTGGGCTGTAATGGAAGACATTCGCTGTTATTTTATGTTGAGGCAACTTTGGCTCAGGAATGTTCTTGGGCAAGACACTGGACCATGACCGCTGTGTCGACAGTGTGTGAATTATGTTAAATTTGTCAAACTTATTATTTATTTATTTTTATCAAGAAGCATCAACTTTCCTGTTCTCGTAAATCTCTGAATGTGCTGTAAAAGAACATTGTTGTGGTTTACATAGTTTCACACTCTGCCCCCACAAACAGCCCCTGTAACTTCTTGGGTTTCTTCTTTGGTTTCTTTGATTTTAGCCTGTATTTGCGTTTGGCAACATTAGAATTTGCTGAATGAGCTGTTTAAATGTCCTCAACACAAGCCTACACATGGCTGTGCAGATAGGCATCACTGTGACATTAAAAAAAACTAGAATTACCCCCTTGCAGTTGTATTTACCGATTTTTTTTCCAGATTGATTTATGAGATCACTACTGAAATACAATCAATTCATCTTTGAGTAGGACAACTGGACAAAATTTGGAGAAATTCTCTACAGACAGATACTGTATGTTGAAGAGGCCAAACACATGTTATGTGAGACCACCCTGAGCTTGACCTTTGACCACCCAAATCTAATCAGTGAGTGAACATGTTTTCCAAAATTGAAAACATGTTCATGAGGTAAAAAACTGTGAGGCCACACAATGACCTTGACCTTTGACCACCAAATAAATAATAATTAAAAAAATAATAAAAATCCCTATGGATGTTCTTGATGTATCACGCTCACAAGCGCATGATGTCACCATGAACTTGACCTTTAATCCTTTGACCACCATCTTTGAGTCCAAGTGATTGTTTCTACTAAATTTGAAGACATTTTCTCAAGGTGTGTTCCTGAGTTGTTGCATACACAAGACAAAACAGGATTCGAAGGGTCCGTGTGACCTTGACCTTTCACCACCAAAGTGTAATCAGTTCATCCTGAGCACAAGTGACTGTTTCTACAGAATTTGAAATTATTCTCTGGATATGTTCATGAGATATTAGGTTCACAAGGCAAAACATTTGTCCTGTAAGGTCAGAGTGACTCTGACTTTGGAACTTGACCACCAAAATCTTCTCAGTTCATTCTTGAGTCCAACTGAAAGTTTGTAGTCTGTGCTGAGTCATAAAAACATGAATATTCTGAGCCAACTTCTGAAGGAATAAGTATTTTTTCCTCATATCTGGTGTTTACAGTAGACAATGATAACAGTAAGGTATGAGTCACACTAAATTTAGAATAATGTATACAATCTATTTGTATTAAGGTTTAACAAACTTGATACAAAATTAAGGAAATGAGATGGAAAACTTCCACTTGAGGGAATAATAGTTCCTCATTCAGATTCCTTGATACACTATCATCTGATTCTTTCCCTCAAAGGAAGGAATCATTGTTTCATTTTCTGACACTGTACATTATCCGCTGTCGATCATACCTTGACTGGTAATTAAATGAGTAGAATTTTGTTAATTTTTAAGATTATTTTCTTTTCTGCAGCAAGTATTAACACCTTCAATTCAACTTTAGATGATAAATCTGGTGACATTTTATATTCAAATCCCATGAAAAGATTTAAACCAACACAACCAAATGTTTGATTATCTTCTCTGGGTCCAGAACCAATTTGGCTACTGTGACATTAAAGTATATCTTATCTGATAATCTGTTCATTTTCTCTAAACACTTTCTGACTC